TTCGAATTTGGTCATGGTCAGATGATTTTTGACAGAGTTATGCCCCATGATGAAATTTTCAGTTTCCGTTCATTATCTCCCCAATGGTATTTCACATTCAACTCAAATTTGACATATAGATATGTCAAAGGAATGCGCAGGTCAAGTTCAAATTTGGTCATAATTCGATGATTTTTTGCAGAGTTATGCCCCTTAAACTTTGAAAAAAGGAAATTTTCAGTTTCCGTTCATTATCTCCCCAACAGTTGTACATACTCATTTCAAATTTAACATATGTATACACTGGTCAAGTTCATATTTGGTCATGGTTTGATGATAGCTGACTGAGTTATCTCTCTTGAACTTTGAAAAAAATCAGAAATTTTTAGTTTCGTTCATTATCTCCCCAATAATTGTACACATTCAACTCAAATTTGACATGTAGATACATCTTAGGGATAAGCAGTTCAAGTTTTAATTTGGCCATGGTTCAATGATTTTGGACAAAGTTGTTCTTGAATGTTTGAAATTTTTTGAATTTTCAGTTTCAGCACTCATACTTTTGTGGAAATGTCTGTAGTCATTATATGAGCTACAAACATGCAATTTACAAGAGGTTAACACTGAATAGTTTCACTGCCTTGAACTTTGTATAAAAATGGTTTGTGTTAACATGAATAGTTTTAAGGGCTTTGAACGCCACATAAATTATCTAGACAAGTGTATAAATACGAAATCTATTCCTAAATCTCTCAAAGTTAACCTAACACCACAAGTCCCTGTAATAAGTTCTACCCTTCAAATCCTGTGGGAAGAAGCGCATTTAGACTTTGGCAACATATTTATTTAAACTTTGTGAAATCCTCTTACAGTACTCGGAAAGCAGATTAAAACAATTACAATAGGAAATTGACTTAATCAACACCAACCTCAAATCAAAAACCTCATCAGATCAAATAGACCTAATCACAGACATAATTTCATGTATTGTTATCAGTGTTGAGAAAGAATTACGCACTGAAAAAATTATCGACATCCAACAATCCTCAGACAGGCACACCAACCTGTCAAATCTAAACAGTATGCCCAGAAGGAGATTCAGACCAAAAGAAGATTTTGACAAAAATAATTTACTTAGAAATCATAATAAATAGGTAATCAATTTATCTAAAGAAAAATTATCATTACCACAAATCACGCTCTTAAGTAAAGGTTTATCTTTTTGCCCTACTCCTACATATATTGACAGAATTGAATAGGATACGCCTTGCGAACCATTTTCAAGAAGAGACACGAACAATGAACATATGAACAAAACCCTTTTAAACAAAACTCCGGCTGGACCACCCCCCCCCCCCCCCAGGAAAATCGCTAGAACTAGAATCTTATATCGCATGCACTAATCAACAGCTACTAGGATATAAAGGCAAACCAGGTAATAAAGCAAATATCACTCAAGATGAAAGATTGGCTCTTACATCGTTGCGGAATAACAAAGGCATAATAATAAAACCGGCCGATAAAGGTGGTGCCATTGTAATACTCAACAAAACCGACTACATATCTGAAGGCTTACGCCAATTAAATGATAAACAGTTTTATAGAGAAGTACCGAAAAATCTCACTCCTAAAATTACCTTTGAAATTATCTCATTCCTCAACTACCTTAAGAAACACAGTTTACTTAGTAAGGTAGCTATTACATACCTACAACCTAAAAACTAAAGAACACCTTTATTTTACATGCTACCTAAAATACACAAAGCTAACAATCCCGGTAGACCTATAGTATCTGCGTGCGCAGGTACGACAGAAAAAATTTCAGAATTCATAGATTTATACATTAAGGCTTTAGCACAATCTGTCGATTCATATATAAAAGATACTAACGATTTTTTATGGAAACTACACAACCATACCAACAAACACAATATTAGTAACCATAGATGTTGCTGCACTTTGTACGTCTATCCCACATAAAGACGGCATTATAGCATTAAAAGAAGCACTTAAAAAGCGCCACATACAAAAACCTAAAACTTTCATCATCATTTTACGACTCGTGTTATTTGTGTTAAGAAAAACTTGTTTCAAATTCAACAAAAAATTTTACAAACAAATATCAGGCACTGCCATTGGAACCAAATGCACACCCAGCTATGCAATCATCTTTATGGCACATTTTGAATCAAGATTTCTACTAACCCAAAAAGTCAAACCTTTGATATGGTGGAGGTATATAGACGATATTTTTATGATTTGGCCGCACAACAGACAGGAATTGTATTCCTTCATGGCTGCTTTAACCTTTTACCCCATGAGCATATTGCGAAAAAATGGCCTTTTTCATTGAAAAGCTCCTGTAACAACTTCAAATTGCTATGAAACTATGAAAAATGCTTCAATGCTGATGAAACTTGGCACAAATGTTGACTAGACCATAGCCTCTGTAACAGCATGCTCAATCGTAAATTTCCTGTTACCATGGCAACGGGGGGACGTCTCAAAATTGCCAAAAATCACTATTTTGCATTGTTTTTTTCCATCAAAACTGATTTCAAAGTGCTGCAACTTCTTAATGAATTGAGATAGAGTAAAAGGCTTTTCAGCGTCGGTTACTAGTTACCCTCAGATCGACCTGAGGCCATTTTTAGCCTGTCACATGTCCAAAATTTTCTTGGCGATGAGGGGGACCCCGCCCCCCTTCAAACCCCCCAAACAGAAGGGGGCACATCCCCCTTCTGGCAACCCCCTGATGTAACATTTGGATGGGGGACGGCGCCGAAAAAGTGGTCACTTTTTTTAACAACATTTCTCAAATGAAAAACAGTGTTTGGGGCCTAAATAGGGCATTTTCTCACTTTTTTAGGTCTCAAAAAGGGGGGGGGGCAAAAAGCCGTCGAAACATGCTTATATAAGGGAAAAGGTTAAACAGTTTCAGCCCGGCAATCAAATTTACACATGATGAAGACTTCAGGTCAGCACATTTTCTAGATGTACACATAACAAAAGACGATGTAGGAAGACTACATACCAGGTTGTATACAAAACCTACCGATGAACACATGTATTTACATTATACTTCCTTCCATCCTGAACACCAAAAGAGAAGTATTCCATACAGTCAAGCCGTAAGAATACGCCGTATATGTAGCAATGATCTATCTTATGATGAATGCACTAATTGTCTCTACGAGAACCTAAGATCTAAAGGCTACCCTTCCAGTCTCATACGTCATGCAATAAATAAGGCTAAAAAACTCAATAGACATGAACTTCTTTCTAAACAACAGAAGAACACAGAATCAAAAAATGTCATCCCTTTCATAACAACATAAAACCCCTATGTTCCAGATATACAAAAGATTCTCGACAATTGTTTAAGATTACTTACAAATAACACATCTACTTGTTTCATAAATAATTCTAAAATCATTGCTATTCACCGAAAAAATAGAAATATTAAGAATAATCTTGTCAAAACAGACTTAAATCCACAACATGAAGTAAATGGAAGGTAGTCCTGCAAACAGATCTGTATAACGTGCAGATACGTCTCAGACGAAACACACATAAAGAGTATTATAACCTACAAAACAAACCTATAAGATTTATGGAAACCATAACTGCAGAACAATAAGCGTGATATATTTAATAACCTGCAAAAAATGCGGACTACAATATGTAGGTCAAACAAGTAACTCCCTAAGAGAAAGATTTTACGGACATAATTATAGCGGACATTAAATCAAACAATAATGTTAAGCCGGTTTCCCGCCATTTCAATAGTGCAGGACATAACGTAAATAATATTGAAGTCAGAATAATACAGCACACAGAAAGCAATCAAAACATACGTTTACGAACTGAAGAAGCTTGGATTAAACGATTACAAACAAAAACACCTTTTAGACTCAATTTAATATAATGGCAGCAGTATTGACGGCAGAAAACTAGAGGATTACACTATGAAAGATGACCTCGATCAACTTAACTTTTTTGAAGCTTGACCAATTTATCACCTGTGTGAAATATGCAGGCAGGCAACATATAATAGATGGCAAAAACAAAGACACAAGAAAGTACACAAGGATACCATTACTAAATATGAATGCTCATGGTGTAAAAAACTATATGCTAGAAAACATAATCTTTTAACACATTCCCGCAAAAAATACATGGATTTGAAGAACTCACATTTAATACAACTGAAATACAACGACAAAACAAACTGGATACAAATAAACAACAGCATGGCATGAAAATTCTTCTAGAAAAACCCAAATTTAGAATCGTTTTAAACAAAACTGGAACACCCCACCGTCAAGAAAAAAAATTCAGGAAAAACACATAGGAACAAGAACATCACCTGTGACTAAACAGAATCCAGAAACAATGGTCTTCATCATACCTAACCCTATATCACCAATACCGGCAAGTCCCAGCACTAGTACTGAAACCATCTGTCAGGATGAGTACCTTTGTTTTAACTCGGACAATGAACTAATAATTAATGTAAACAGAATAATTATATGGACTTTTCACGAACAATTAAGAACTCTACATTTAATACAGACCACCATTTAAATAATTTATTGGCATGTTGCCAATATTTATTCTATTTTAAGTAACAAGATATTTATATTTAGTAACAAACGTCATATAACGTAGCCGTTTTTTTACCACTTTAACAGACAAAATTTTGATTAAGATTGTCCTGATGAAGGTCATATAGATGACCCAAATAAAATATTGTAAACTTGCTCTGGTGTTGACGTGTATTACTCGTTAATTCGTATTTACCTTGGTTGATTAAAATGAAAAAAATAGTTTGTGCAAACAAATTTGGAACCAGATATTATAACATCTGAAATTTTGGCTGCATGCCGTGACAACACATTTTTAGTTTTTCAATAAAATTCACTTCGGCCCTTATAGCACTAGACCTTCAATAATCTGAAATAGATGGACAGTTTATGTTATGCAGACAATTTATGAATTTTTATCTTGATATATTTCAGGTGGGTCTGCTTTGCCACTAGAACTACCTAGTCTGAAAATAGCTCTTGTTGGTAAGTAAAGAAAATTGAAAAAAATGCATTTTGAAATATTTTCTTATGATATATTTAAATTTGCTACTTTGTATGAACAATTTACTACAGAAAAACAAATACATAATGTATGTTGTTACTGCCAACAGGGTATTGAAATGTCATTGCTTATCATTCTGGATCAAATTGTTTGTTTAAATCCAGTTTTTATGCCTCCGGGCCTTAGAGTTATTGAACCCTCCATTTGTCTTAGCTTACATTTGGATACTTGTGTGGCTAGAGGAACAACAGGTTACTGTACTCTCCCTTCCTTAAGGCTTTAATGTGGCCTTTTTATGCCCCCGCCATAAAATTGCTGGGGCATATAGTGTTACCCTGTTCCATCATTCCGTCATAATCAGTTTCTGTTCATTATTTTAGTAATGGTTGCACACATTATTAATATTCACAGTAAAAAAAATCAGAAGAGCAATCAGGGCCGTAAAAAAGAAAGGACCTATATACCGGACAGAACCTACGGAAAAGACAATTTCAAAATGATAATACTGTGATATAACAATTCGTAAAAAATGGCCTTCTTAAATTTTTTCGATAAATTTATAAAGAGCGCAATTTATTGTTGAATATGTTTGCATTTCATTTCCTGCAAAATTCTCCAGTCCGTTATTTATTACCATAGCGCGACACGAATGACCATTTCGTTAAGACTAAAACTACTTCTATAAATAGATTTTCCGACTTTCACAATGTTAAGGTCATCTAGCTATTTATAGCTTTCGAATTCATGTACAATTTGTTCCTGTTCTCATTCATTAATATGACATGCTGCGAATCACCGAAGGGGAAAGCAATATATGACTTTACATAATTTACATAATAAAAATCGGAAGAAGTTTTTGACTCCGAATTTATTTTAAGCTGTAAATCGAAGGAAATAATTGATAAAAATTGGGCCCATGAACAAAAAAAAAAATATAAAACACAAATGACTTAAATATTGACCTAGTGACCTACTTTCTTGTTTTTGTGTCGCCTTGAAAGGAGCATAACTCAGTCACTATAAGTCGATTGACTTCAAACTTAGTAACCTGAAGTGCAGTGCACAAAGACCGGTACTCTGCACTTTTTAATTTTTGAGTTATTGCCCTTTGTTAATTTTCATACTTTTATTTTGTCCAGGCCATTTCTCTTCAACTATAAAAGCTATGGACTTGAAACTTCATAGGATGATAGATCTCATTAGGAAGAAGTGCAGTGCACAAGAACCGGTACTCTGCATTTTTTATTTTTTGAATTATTGCCCTTTGTTGATTTTCATACTTTATTTTTGTCTGGGCCATTTCTAATGATTTATAAATGTTATGGGCTTGAAACTTCATAGGTTGATAGATCTCATAAAGGCAGTGCACAAGAACTGGCACTCTGTTTTTCTTATTTTTTGAGTTATTGCCCTTTGTTAATTTTATACTTATTTTTGTCCAGGCCATTTTTTCTAAACAATGAAAGCTATTTACTTGAAACTTCATAGAATGATAGATCTCATTAAGAAGGAGTGCAATGCACTTCTTATTTTTAGCTCACCTGTCACAAAGTGACAGGGTGAGCTTTTGTGATCGCTTTTCGTCCGGCGTCCGGCCGTCCGTCCGTAAACTTTTACTTTAAACGACATCTCCTCATAAACCACCAAGCCAATTTTATCCAAACTTCACAGGAATGTTCCTTTGGTGGTCACCTTTAAAATGTTCAAAGAATTTAATTCCATGCAGAACTCTGGTTGCCATGGCAACCGAAAGAAAAAACTTTAATATCTTCTTTTAAAAAACCCAAAGAGCTAGAGCTTAGATATTTGGCATATAACATCTTCTAGTGAGTGTCTACCAAGTTTGTTCAAATAAAAGCCCTGGGGTCAAAATTGGCCCCGACCTAGGGGGTCATTGATTTTCCCTATATGCATAAAGTAAAAACTTAAAAAAATTTCTTTTAAAGAACCCAAAGAGCTAGAGCTAAGATATTTAGCATGAAACATCTTCTCATGAGTGTCTACCAAGTTTGTTCAAATAAAGCCCTGGGGTCAAAATTGGCACCGCCCCAGGGGGTCATTGATTTTCCCTATATGCATATAGTAAAAACTTAAAAAAATCTTCTTTTAAAGAACTCAAAGAGCTAGAGCTAAGATATTTAGCATGAAACATGTTCTAATGGGTGTCTACCAAGTTTGTTCAAATAAAAGCCCTGGGGTCAATATTGGCCCTGCCCAGGGTGTCATTGATTTTCCTTATATGTGTATAGCAAAAACTTAAAAAAAATCTTCTTTGAAAAAACCCAAATAGCTAGTGTTTAGATATTAAGCATAAAACATCTTCTACTAAGTGTCTACCAAGTTTGTTCAAATAAAAGCCCTAGGGTCAAAACTGGCCCTGCCCCAGGGGTGTCATTGTTTTTAACTATATGTGTATAGTAAAAACTTAAAAAATCTTCTTTTAAAAAACCCAATGAGCTAGAGCTTAGATGTTAAGCATGAAACATCTTCTTATAGGTGTCTACCAAGTTTGTTCAAATAAAAGCCCTTGGGTTAAAATTAGCCCTGCTAGGGGGCGGGGTCATTGTTTTTCATTATATATGTATAGTAAAAACTTAACATCATGAAACATCTTCTAATGGAAGTCTTCCAAGTTTGTTCAAATAAAAGCCCTTGGGTTTTAACTGGCTTCGCTCCGGGGGCCTATATACAGGTGAGCGACCTCAGGGCCATCATGGCCCTCTTGATGATGGCCCTCTTGTTTTAGTTATTGCCCTTTTTTAGCTCGACTATTCGATAAGAATAAGTAGAGCTATTGCAGTCACCCGAGCGTCGGCGTCCGCGTCGGCGTCGGCGTCGGCGTAACCACTTATGTTAAAGTTTTTGTAATAGTTCAAATATTTTCAAAGTCCATAGACATATGGCTTTGAAACTTTGCGCACTTGTTCACCATCATGACCCCAACCTGTAGACAGGAGGAGGTAACTCTATCAAGCATTTTGACAGAATTATGCCCTTTTTTCGACTTAGAATTTACGTTAAAGTTTTTGTAATAGTTCAAATATTTTCAAAGTCCATTGACATATGGCTTTGAAACTTTGCACACTTGTTCACCATCATGACCCCAACCTGTAGACAAGAGGAGGTAACTCTATCAAGCATTTTGACAGAATTATGCCCCTTTTTCGACTTAGAATTTACGTTAAAGTTTTTGTAATAGTTCAAATATTTTCAAAGTCCATTGACATATGGCTTTGAAACTTTGCACACTTGTTCAACATCATGACCCCAACCTGTAAACAGGAGGAGGTAACTCTATCAAGCATTTTGACAGAATTATGCCCCTTTTTCGACTTAGAATATACGTTAAAGTTTTTGTAATAGTTCAAATATTTTCAAAGTCCATTGACATATGGCTTTGAAACTTTGCACACTTGTTCACCATCATGACCCCAACCTGTAAACAGGAGGAGGTAACTGTATCAAGCATTTTTTTTACTATCAAGCACTAAGAATAGTCGAGCGTTGCTGTCCTACCGACAGCTCTTGTTAATTTTCATACTTTATTTTTGTCTGGGTCATTTCTCCTAAACTATAAAAGCTTTGAACATGAAACTTCATAGGATGATAGGTCTCATCAAGATGAAGTGCAGTGCACAAAAACTGGTACTCCATGGTTTTTGAGTTATTGCCCTTTGTTAATTTTCATAGTTTAATTTTGTCTGGGCCATTTCTCTTCAACTATAAAAGCTAGGGACTTGATTATTTTCAATGGATGATAGATCTCATTAAGAAGAATTGCAGTGCTCTGCACTTCTTATTTTTAGCTCACCTGTAACAAAGTGACATGGTGAGCTTTTGTGATTGCTTTTTTCGTCCGGTGTCCGTCCGTAAACTTTTACTTTAAACAACATCTCCTCATAAACAGCTAAGCCAATTTCATCCAAACTTCACAGAAATGTTCCTTTGGTAGTGAACTTTTAAAATTGTTCAAAGAATTTAATTCCATGCAGAACTTTGGTTGCCATGGCAACCGAAAGAAAAACCTTATAAAATCTTCTTTAAAAAAGCTTAAAGAGCTAGAGCTTAAATAATTGGCATGAAGCATCATCTAGTCAGGGTGCACCAAGTTTGTTCAAATAATAGCCCTGGGGTCAAAACTGGCCCGCCCCAGGGGGTCATTGATTTTCCTTATTTGTATATAGTAAAAACTTAAAAAATCTTCTTTTAAAAATTCAAATAGCTATAGCTTAGATTTTTGGCATGAAACATCTTCTGGTGGGTGTCTACCAAGTTTGTTCAAGTGAAAGCCCTAGGGTCAAAATTGGCCCGCCCCAGGGGGTCATTGTTTTCCCTATATGTATATAGTGAAAATTTAAAAAATTTCTTTTAAAAAACCCAAATAGCTAGAGCTTAGATATATAGCATGACACATCTTCTAGTGGGTGTCTACCAAGTTTGTTCAAATAAATGTTCTAGGGTCAAAATTGGCCCCGCCCCGAGGGGTCATTGTTTTTCCCTTTATGTATATAATAAAAACTTAAAAAATCTTCTTTTAAAAAATTCAAATAGCTAGAGCTAAGATATTTAGCATGAAACAGCTTCTAATGGTTGTCAACCAAGTTTGTACAAATAAGAGCCCTTGGGTTAAAATTGGCCTGCCCCGGGGTCATTGATTTTCCTTTTGTGTATAGTAAAAACTGAAAAAATCTTCTTTTAAAAACCCTAAGAGCTTAAGAGTTTAGATACCAAGCATGAAATATCTTCTAGTGAGTGTGTACCAAGTTTGTTAAAATAAAATCCCTAGGCCCGGCCTGGCCCATTGTTTTACCCTTAATATGTATAGTTAAAACTTAAAAAATCTTCTTTTATGCTAGAGCTTAGATAATTATCATGAAACATGTTCAAATGGGTGTCTACCATAATTGTTCAAATAAAAGCACTTGGGTTAAAATTGGCCCTACCCCAGGGGCCTATATACAAGTGAGCGATTTCATTGACATCATTGCCCTCTTGTTTTATTTATTGCCCTTTAGCAGTGTTTCAAACCACTTGCCCCTCACCGCTGTGGGTTCGAATCCCTACAGGGACTTTGGATTCTTTCATTTGAGGAAGCTATCCAGCTAGCTTACAGAACGTCGGTGGTTCTACTCAGGTGCCCGTTTGTGCCTGAAATAATGCACGGAAGGGCACCTGAAGTCTTCCTCCACCAGTAAAGCTGAAACGTTGCGATATGACCTATACTGTGTCGATGTGATGTAATAAGCAGTGTATATAAATAACCTAGTAGGCTTTAAGCAGAAAATGTTGAATGTGTAATACCATATAATGGCTGGAGCATATAGTGTTACCCTGTTCCCTCCTTCTGTCCTTCAGTCATTCCCTCATTCTGTCATCATCAGTTTCCGTTCATTATCAAATTTGACATATGGATATGTCATGAGAAAATACAGGTCAAGTTCGAATTTGGTGATGGTTTGATGATTTTTGGCAGAGTTATGCCCCTTTTACTTTGAAAATAATATGAAATTTTCAGTTTCCGTTCATTATTTCCCATCTAGGGTATTACACAATCAACTCAAATTTGACATTATGGATACGTCAAAGAAATCCGCAGGTCAAGTTCGAATTTTGTCATGGTTCGATGATTTTTGGCAGAGTAATGCCCCTTTAACTTTGAAAAAAATGGAAATTTTCAGTTCCCATTCATTATCTCCCCAACAGTTGTAAATATTCAACTCAAATTAAAGATATGGAGTTATGCCCCTTTTACTTTGAAAATAATATGAAATTTTCAGTTTCCAATCATTATCTCCCCAAAAGTATTACACATTTAACTCAAACTTGATATATGGATATGTCATGAAAAAAATACAGTTCAAGTTTGAATTTAGTCATGGTTGATGATTTTTGACAGAGTTATGCCCCTTTTACTTTGAAAATTATATGAAATTTTTAGTTTCTGCTCATTATCTCCCCAACAGTATTACACATTCAACTCAAACTTGACATATGGATACGTCAAAGAAATGCGCATGTCAAGTACGAATTTGGTTATGGTTCGATGATTTTTGGCAGAGTTATGTCCCTTTCACTTTGAAAATAATATGAAATTTTCAGTTTCCGTTCATTATTTCCCATCTAGGGTATTACACAATCAACTCAAATTTGACATTATGGATACGTCAAAGAAATCCGCAGGTCAAGTTCGAATTTTGTCATGGTTCGATGATTTTTGGCAGAGTAATGCCCCTTTAACTTTGAAAAAAATGGAAATTTTCAGTTCCCATTCATTATCTCCCCAACAGTTGTAAATATTCAACTCAAATTAAAGATATGGATATGTCATAAGAATGCATTGGTCAATTTCGAATTTGGTCATGGTTTGATGATAGCTGACAGTCTCAATTATCCCTCTTGAGCTTTGAAAAAATTGAATAGTTTTAAGGGCTTTGAACTTAAATAAAAAAATAATTTGTGCAAACAAATTTGGAACTAAATATTATAACATCTGAAATTTTGGCTGCATGCGGGGGCATCCGGAGCGTGATGACACATTTCTAGTTTTACACAAATAACAGCCTGTCCTTAGGTGAGCGTTTTGGCACCAATGGCTCCCTTGATTATGTTTATGATGATTAACTTTTTTTGTAGATTTATTTACAACTCCTTTTTGAAAAAATTAACACACAGGGTGTTTATTAGAAGATATAAAAAGTTACCTATACTAAATTTATTTAGTTCCTGTCTAATTTGACATTTTGCAAAAATGAATATAGCATAGTGTCACTTCTCTACATTTGTTGTAACTATGTGGAGGAAACATATATTGACTCTCTATTTTAAAGAATAAGTTTTGCTGTATATATCAATATCAGTGGGGAAAACAGGGGGCAGAATTTACAAATGCAATGAAATTGTATTATTTGATAATTTGTACTATTGTTATATACAGGTGATCCAGGTGTTGGTAAGACAAGTGTTCTATTGCGATACCTCAGGAACCAATTCAGCCCACTGTATGTACCAACAAAAAAAGTAGCTATAGGTATGTTACTGCTTTGTGTGATTACTTTGTCCTTGTTGGCTTTGTGTAATAGACTTGCTGTGGCAGAATGATTAAGGTTGCCAGTTTCAAATCACTTTCCCATCACTGCTGTGTGTTTTAATTCTGTCAGTGACTTTGGATTGAGGAAACTATCCAGTAAGCTTACAGAACATCTGTGGTTCTACTTAAGTCCTGAAATAATGCACAAAAGGGCACCTGAGATATCCCTCTACCTTTTAAAGCCATGAAGCGCCATATAACTGTGTCTGTGCAACTTAAAATCAAACAAACAAATAAGAAATAGACTTTCCCTGCTTCATATAAAAAGTCTGTTGTCAAGTAATTAAAGGAATATTAGGAATCTAACTATATTAAAATTTTATACAGGAAAAATGTTTACTTTAAGAATTAATAAAGGTGACACACAGGAATCTTGTAATATTTTTATGCTCCCAGAACAGAGAGCAGTCGCCGCCTTGTCAGTTCTTCCATCTGTCTGTCACACTCTTGTCTGGAGAATAACTTGAAAAGTATAAAGGCATTTTATTTAAACTTGCTTAATTTTTGTATTACCAAAAATGCTATTGATAAAAATATCTCATTGAAACTACACACAGTAACTGTTGTAGATCTAGAAAAAGGAAATGCAGTGTTAGAAAACCATAATTTTATATTGCTTAGTTTATGGATGATCTCCCTTTATAATACTTGATAATGCTTGTCTGAAAAATAACTTGAAAAAGTATTGAAGGTGTTTGATTAAAATTCACACTGCGATAGAGATAAATATGAGGAAGTGCAGTGTACAAAAGCCATAAAAAGCCATTATCCCTTGCTTGATTTTTTTTTAGCTCACCTGAGCATGCTCAGGGTGAGCTTTTAGGATCGATGATTGTCCGTCGTCCGTCCACATTTAGTTTGTTAACACTCTAGCAGTCGCATTTATTCCTCAATCATCATGAAACTTTGCCAGAATATCTGTCTCATTAATATCTCGGATGAGTTCGATCATGGATGACCTCCGATGAAAAACTAGGTCACAGGAGCTAAAAATAGAAAAAGGTTGTTAACACTCTACTGGCTGCAGTTTTGATCCAAATATTCTGGAAATTTGTCAGGAAGGTTGTTTTGATGATTTCTAGGTCAAGTTCGAAGATGGGTCATCTCCGGTCAAAAACTAAGTCACAAGAGCTAAAAATAGAAAAAGCTTGTTAACACTCTAGTGGCTGCAGTTTTGATCTAAATATTCAGAAAATTTGTCAGGAAGGTTGTTTTAATGATTTCTAGGTCAAATTCGAAGATGGGTTATCTCCGGTCGAAAACTAGGCCACAGGAGCTAAAATTAGAAAAAGCTTGTTAACGCTCTACTGGCTGCAGTTTTGATCCAAATATTCTGGAAATTTGTCAGGAAGGTTGTTTTGATGATTTCTAGGTCAAGTTCGAAGGTGGGTCATCTCCGGTCAAAAACTAGGTCACAGGAGCTAAAAATAGAAAAAGTTTGTTAACACTCTAGTGGCTGCAGTTTTGATCCAAATATCCTGGAAATTTGTCAGAAAGGTTGTTTTGGTGATTTCTAGGTCAAGTTTGAATATGGGTCGTCTCCAGTCAAAAATTAGGTCACATTGCCCAAATATGGAAAACCTTTTTAACACATTAGAGGTCACATTTTTGACTCAATTGTCATCAAACTTGGCCAGGATGCTTATCTAAGACATTGCTTGGATGCGGTTGATGGGTCAGGGGAGCGATCCAGGGCCATCATGGCCCTCTTGTTTTAGCTCACCTGAGCTTACCCAGGGTGAGCTTTTAGAATCGTTGAATGTCCGTCGTCCGTCCACATGTGTTCATTAACACTCTAGCGGTCACATTTTTGCCTCAATCATCATCAAACTTTGTCAATATGCGTATCTAGGTGATAGCTCGGATGAGGTCGAACATGGGTCATCTCGGATGAAAAACTAGGTCACAAGAGCTAAAAATAGAAAAACCTTGTTAACACTCTAGAGGTCACATTTTTTTCTCAATCATCATCAAAGTTGGTCAGGATGCTTGTCAAGGTGATAGCTTGGATGAGTTCGAACATGGGTCATCTCCGATGAAAAACTTGGTCACCGGATCTAAAAATAGAAAAACCTTGTTAACACTCTAGCAGTCACATTTTTGCCTCAATCATCATCAAACTTGGTCAGGATGCTTGTCTAGGTGATAGCTTGGATGAGTTCAAACATGGGTCATCTTGGATGAAAAACTAGGTCACAGGAGCAAAAAATAGAAAAACCTTGTTAACACTCTAGCGGTCACATTTTTGACACAAGTGTCATCAAACTTGATCAGGATGCTTGTCTAGGTACTTGCTCGGATGATTTCGAACATGGATCATCTGGGATAAAAAACTAAGTCACAGGAGCTAAAAATAGAAAAACCTTGTTAACACTCTAGTGGCTACTGTTTTGATCCAAATATCCTGTAAATTGGTCTGAAAGTTTGTTTTGATGATTTCTAAGTCAAGTTCGAACATGGGTCATCTCGGATGAAAAACTAGGTCACACTGCCCAAATATGGAAAAACCTTGTTAACACTCTAGATAGTGGTCACATTTTTGACTCAATTATCATCAAACTTGGTCAGGATGCTTGTCTAGGTAATTGCTCGGATGAGTTCGAAATCGCATGTGAAACTAGGTCACCGGAGCAAGAAATAGAAAAATCTTGTTAACACTCTAGTTTCTACTGTTTTGATCCAAGTATCCTGGAAATTGGTCTGAAAGTTTGTTTTGATGATTTCTAGGTCAAGTTTGAATATGGGTCACCTGGGTAAAAAACTAGGTCACACTGCTCAAATATGGATAATCCTTGTTAACACTGTAGTGGTCACATTTTTGACTCACCTGTCATGAAACTTGGTCAGAATGCTTGACTAGGTAATTGTTCGGATGAGTTTGATGGGTCAGGTGAGGGATCTAGGGCCATCATGGCTCTCTTGTTTCAATTATCTCCCATTATATTTTTTAATCCCCTTCGGCATAGCGGAAAGGGGATTATAGGAATTGTCTCCGTCTGTCAGTCCCTCTGTCCGGGCTATTGAAGTTAAAAATTGACCATCATCGTGAAGAATTATATCTTCTGTGTCGATGGACCAAAGGATTATGTGAAAATATTGGAAATGGAATAAAATACATGGTGATTATGACGGTAGGGGTGCGGATTTTTTCCGGCGAACCTTTTTATCTTGTGTATTATTATAGATGTTGAAATATGAAATTTTTTCAAAACGGCTTATATTAAGTTTTTTTTATATATATGATCAGTACATGTGCTGGGATTGACAAATATGCATTTTATTTGGATTTTAAAAGCGTTTTGAGCTCCAAACCCCAAGTGTCTGTGGACAAAACAGGAATTGTCAGGACTTTAATCTTACCAACAGGAAAAAACAGGAAATCTCAGGACTTTTATTTTCAGATATGTCCTGAGGACAGGAATTATCAGGACTTCATTTATAGTGAAGTCCTTTAGTCAAAGACAAGAAAGATATTATCTTAGAAAGCCTTTCTGTAAAGTGAAAAGTAAGAAGTCTTGTTAATTCCTGTTCTTTGGACAGAGGAATAAATGAAATAACTTTTGTGAGACTTTTTATTACTGAGCAAAGCTGAAAAAAATGCTAAGTATAAAAACATGAGAAAAATTCATAAAATATATTGAAGTTGATTTGTAATAGTTTTCTTTAACACAATGGGTATCAATATTCTCAGAATTTAAAATTCTATAATTTTAGACCTTAATCACAAACAATTAAGATTTTTTTTCAAAAAAGAGAAAAAGTTGCTAATTGATTTTTGAACATAGCAAGGAAATTATTTTTTTTATTTAATAAGATATTGTAATAGGGAAAATCAAATATACATGTTTATAACCTGCAGATAATTTTGGCACAGATTCTGATCAGAATAGGGACAGAATTGGCATGGAATCAGTGATTTCTGTGTGGACCATGGACAGAAATGAAATTCTATGTCATTCCATTTCAAAACAAAAACAATTCACATAACAGTTACCCAAAGCATTATTCTACTCTTGTTGAAATGTATATGTTTTCAACCTATTGTACTTCTTACAGTACTTTTTTACTAGAGTTTGAAATTTTACCAAGAGAGACAGGTGTAATTTTTTTTTAGACATTTAGGCCTGTATTTTAGATATTTAACAGAAATAAAACAGCTCATGAAACTGTCCTTTTTAGCTCGACTTTTCTATGAAAAGGGGAGCTATCCTACTCGCCCCGGCGTCGGCGTCGGCGTCACACCTTGGTTAAGTTTTTCGTACCACCCCACTTTATTTCAGAAGTATTACAAGTATGGCTTTGAAACTTACCATACTTGTTCACCATCATAACCTCCATCTACAGACAAGAGTACATAACTCTGTCAAGGTTTTTGACAGAATTATGGCCCTTTTTTGACTTAGAAAGTGTATTGAGCTTGGTTAAGTTTTTTGTACCACCTCACTTTATTTCAAAAACCATTGGAGGTATTGCTTTGAAACTGACCATACTTGTTTACCATCACGACCTTCATCAACAGACAAGAGGACATAACTCTGTCAAGGTTTTTGACAGAATTATGCCCCTTTTTGACTTAGAAAATACATTGAATATGGGTAAAATCCACTTATTGCCTTAACCCTTTGAGATATTGCTTTGAAACTTTTAATGCTATTTCACATCATTACCCCCATCTGTACGCAAGAGAAGGTAACTCTGTCAAGGATTTGTTTTAAAAATTAAGGCCTTTTATCGACTTAGAATCTTGGTTAAGTTTTTAGTACCAGTCCACTTTTTGACTGAACTGTTTGAGATATTAATTTGAAAGTTGGAATACTTGTTTACAATCATGATTCCCAAACATGTCCAGGAGAAGGTAATTCTGTCAAAGATTTTATTTGAATTATGGCCCTTAACTGTCAATGTTTTGTATTATAGGCAAGCACTAAAAAACTTAAAAAATCTAAAAAAATTCATTCCTATCCACTTGTTCACTTTACCATAAATTATGTCATAATAAAATAATTCTTCACTAAATATCTTAATGCTCATGGCCATTGTTCACTTTAAAAATACAGAGATTCTTGTATTGCCTTTTACTGCAAAAACTTCTTTTATTGGCAAGCAATAAAAAAGTCGAGCGCGCTGTCTTACGGACAGCTCTTGTTATCTATTTCAAATCAAGGAACCAATATGCCTGATAAAGATAAATAAATACTACACCCACTTAGATATTACACCACACAGATCAAAGATCTGATAAAACTGGCCACCTTTGTTCTCCCGCCATATGTGCATGACTAATTTACTCCCTGGTCATTCCTACAAATCAGACTGTTCCATGTGATTATTTTGGGGAGAGGTAACATTACAAATTTGATTGATATGCAGAATATGTCTAGGACATTGCAATTTTTCTTCTTTATTAAATTCATGATTTTTTAAATCTACTTTCTATTAGCTATTTGATGTGGTTTTTTACATTCAATGAATGTTATATAAAATGATAACTGCTTTGATTTTTGGATTAACCCTGTTTTACCTAATGATGTACCTGTCCAGTTTGAATGGTCAGCTAGAAGCTTGGAAATAGTGTAAATTACAGAGGAGACTACTATATGTTTAAGCAATTTTGGAGATATAGTTTCGTTTAAGATGTTAAAGTGTTTAAGTTTAATAAGTGTAGTTATGGTTAATAAGAATGACAAGAATCAGAATCACCTGGGACAAGGAGATATACAACAGAATCAGGTAATTAAACCTTTAGTTACATTTATAAAGAAACAGGTTATATATGTTACTTATGTATATAAAAAAATCAAGGTAGCAAACTAAAATTTGTAACCACTTCATACATTTGATTTATTTATAATTGATTTAAATCTAGATTTGATTGTCAAATTAATTTGTAATATATATAATATACAAAATAGCATATAAATAGATAGATTGTCTTTTTCATTTCTGCAAGTTAAAATAATGTGAAACAAATTAAAATTATGAGGAGTAAAAGTTACAGTTCTATACTGACACCTGTCAGTAACTTTTGTGCAGCTGAATAAGACACCCAGCAAACACAAGACGTCATACTGACGTCAGATTTAAGTCAGGTTTTGACGTCGGATGACGGTCGGAAAAACGGTTGGATTTGAAAGTTTCTTTGACGTAATAATCTGACGTCAGGTAGACGTCAGAATCTAACCATTATCTAACCTTTTTCTGACCAAAATCTGACCATTATCTAACCATTTTCCGACCTCAATCTGACCATTTTTTGACCTAAATCTGACCATTTTCCGAGCTAAATCTAACCAGTTTCTAACCATTTTCCAACCTCAATCTGACCATTTTCCGACCTAAATCTTAACCATTTTCTGCTCTAAGTCTGACCATTTTCTGAGTTTAATCTGATCATTACCCTAATCCTTTTGGTTTTACCACGTTATAAATATTTTCTGGCTAATCCTGATTTGATCGAATTTAATGTAACTCATTCTATTAAGTAGCTTTCAATCCAATGAAATGTGTAACAAAAAACTAAAAGCAAAAATATGTTTTAATGTTTTTTTATTTAAAATAAAAGTTCCAATTTTAAGCTGATACATACAATTTTAGTAAATTCTGCAAGGCTAAATACTTTTCATAAATTAAACAAAATAAAACATAAAATAAGTTAATAACAAAACAAAAAGTATTACAAAAACAATGACATAAATGAAACTAAGAAAACATATACAAATATTAAAGAACAATACAATGTATGTACATTTCTATCAAAGTTTGCCTTATCAAACAAAACAATGAAAACATTATAATTTTAAGAAAAGTTAAAATATTCGGATAATAATGTTTCAAGCAATTAATGACAGATTTTCAGTATTTTAACTATATTTCTACAGCATTACTAAAACATATAGTGACATTTTGCATATTTTGACCTCCTTTTGATAATTGTCACTAAGGTATAAATTACTTCCTTTTAGTTACTTCACAAAGTTATACTTTTAAATATCCATGAGAATTAGCACGAATTTAGAGCTGTGATGCTTTTAGATATGACCTTCTCTAACCATCCCTCGTCTGTCCGGAGGATATGTTAATGTCCAATAGCGTTTGTGATATCATTTTCACTGAAAAAAAAAAAGAAATTTATGAAAAATGGAAAAATAACAAGCTAAAATGTTTTTCATGGTTATCTGCCCTTTAGAAATTTTGAAAGTTATCTTAACCTAATGAACAATTTTGCTAGCTTTTTATAAGAGAGCTTTAACAAAAATTGACACTAAACACGAATACTGAAAAATTAAAAGGCTGCTTTAAAACTCCAGTTTAGTATGGATTATAAGTATGTAATAGAATTTACAAAAATCTTACTTTGCCATGTTTCTTTTTACATTATCACGTGTTTCTGTCCCTCCGACCTTTGAGAGCATGTCCAACACTTGGAACTAGATCTACCTGAAAAGAAAATTATATTCTAAATTTCATGTATGTATATTCTATGTTTGAAATAGAACAGTTACTCAAGTTTTAAATTTTTCATAGTTTCAAATTAAAGTTTCAAATTCATTCTCAATTCTCAGATTTTAACTGACAAAAACATCACAGTTTAAGAAAAATATGAAAACTAAGCATTCTCTTTGGAAGTACTGAAAGGCACATTAAGCAGAGTTAAAACATGTCAAATTTGAAAAAAATTATTATCAGACATTATCGCGAAATTGTGTGACATTTTGCTTCAACTGTTCAAATAATGATAATTAAATTTAAAAATGCTTGCAATCATGCAATTATTTATCAAATACAAAGTAGAAATAAATTTAAATAAATGGAACTGACCTTTTTGTTCAAGAAAATCTAAAATATTCATTTTATCAATGCATCCCAATTCCTGACCGACAGCCAAAACGTAACGCCTACGAATTTGAATTTCCATCCACGTGGCTGTAGTTTCGAATCATAGGTTAATTATGTTTTTCTTTCCCTTTTCTGACACTATGATTAAATCTTAAAGCACTATTAAAAACTCGTGATTTTGATACATATAATGTACCACAAATGATAATATTATAACGTTAAATGATTGGAACTCGTAAACAGATCTGTAGCTATAAATAGATTTCATAACAATAACACATGTAACTTGCCTCCATACAGCGCCACCTATATGTTTTATTAGGATGCAGCCCCGCGATCTTGGTCACACTTCATTTGTAAGCCAAATAACATTTGAAAAAAGTTTAAATGATTACAACAACGAAAAAGGATTTTTTTTGTTAATTTTTTACCTACCGTCAGGACACCGACCAGAACCTGACGTTAGTACGACGTCAAAAAGAAACGTCTGAAAGATATCGGTTTTTTAACGTGAGATTTACGTCGTATTTTGGTCACCGACGTCGTGACCAAAATCTAACGTTAATCCGACGTTATTTTAACGTCATGTGTTTGCTGGGCAGGGTCATCATAATCATTTATCATTTTATGTGTTGTTTTCAATGGAAAAATCTGATATTAGATTTCAAACAAATTGCAGGCTTAAAGTGGGACCAGTTCTGAGTCTGACTCTGAGATGCCAGGTGAATAATGATGTGCAGTATTGAGCCCCAAAAGGTATGCTTTATTTTTTTAAATATCTATATTTGATTATTCTTAATCTTTCCCAGAAGGAAAAAAATAGTTCATTGCACAATTATTTGAAACCATTTGTTATCTTTCTTTTAAAATTCTTATTTTAATGAAAGTTGCATTTCTTACCTTGGTTGAATTTTACATCTAACGTTTTAAGCAACAAATTATTCTGCAACCAACTAGTACTAAGCATCATAAGTGTAAAGTTTCTTTCTCAATGAAACAATGGCTTGCTGACAGGGTTTAAACAAATATAGCAAGCAATCCTTAGATTACTCATTCACTGACCTGCATTTGGCCATGCCACCACTTGTGTTTATATTGCATGTAAAGTTTCATGACATCACTGCTTATTTGATATTACAAAACTTAGAGCTGAACATGTCTTTTTTTCCAGAAATAATGAAGAGTGTCAATCAGAGTGCCAACTGTTCAAGTCTGGGAGATAATCAGCTGGGAGAAAATGACAGTTATCCTGAGAGCAAAATGATGTTAATGCCATGCAGGGAAAGTTTGTTAACTTGTGAATCAAAGCTAGTTTCTTTAGATGCCATCACAGTCAAACTTTTCAGTGTATTTTTTCTCAAATCTATAAACTTTCCTGGATCTTAAGTTCTAATTTGCTGACATTGGAAATAGTGTGTAATTTTTTCATAATACATTTTTCTTTTGTTCTAATCCCTTCAATTATATGTAATAATCATATACATATAAAATGTAAAATATGATGAAATATTAAAATAAATATTTTTAAACTAACTAAATTTGTGCATTAAATTAGTATTTCAAAGCAGCATTTATTAAGATATCAGCTTTTACTGTTTTCTACATTTCTACATGTCTGTCCTGAGAACAGGACATTCCTGGGATTATGGGATTGTCCTGAGAACAGGACATTCCTGGGATTATGGGATTGTCATGGGAACAGGACATTCCTGGGATTATGGGATTATCCTGGGAACAGGACATTCCTGGGATTATAAGATTGTCCTGGGAACAGGACATTCCTGGGATTATGGGATTGTCCTGGGAACAAGACATTCCTGGGATTATGGGATTGTCCTGGGAACAAGACATTCTTGAGATAGCAGAGCAATATTTTTTTCCTGTTTTTTCCTGTCTTCAAGAAATTCATGGGATTGTCCAGTCCCATTTAACGGCGTGAAAAAAGTCTCAGGATTATCTCAGGAAATCCTGGGATATTTCCAGGACAAATTCCTGAGACTTATCAGGAATTCCTGGGATAGTCCCAGGACTTCTTGTTCATTTTCTGCACGGGGAATATGTTTCTTTTCTCACTAATTTTGTTTATTAAGCATTGATGATTCAAATAAAAATAAAAATATTTTGGTTATCTTTTATTTTCTTAGAATTATTTCCCTTTTTTCCCATTTTCTGGAAACAAAATATTTGAAGTTCATAAAAATTATGTTGTAATGAAAAATTCTTAATAGAAATGTGTCCAACAACTTCATTTTGCTCTAGATTATTGCGCCAGTATCTTTATTCTATATATTTGGATTAAATATTCTGTTTCTGGCATTTATATTTTGACAATGCTTTGACACTGAACATTATATTTTGAAGTTTTCTCTTAAAACTGATTGAAATGTATGCTGACAGGTGTTGGCGCAATGAATTAGCGCATAAAGAAGTTATTTAACCTTTTTTGATTTACACTTTGCCTATGTAACATATTTTTTAAGGACTTCAAAAATTATGTGTGATGAAAACATGAAAAAGGGGAAATAATTCTCACAAAAGTGACAGTTACCAAATATTTTTCTTTCAGTTTATGTCAAATATTATTCTCAATAAACAAACAAAGTTTAAAAGAAATATATTTATTACTTTTCTAGAAATATGATTTTTTATGACATAAGCCCGATCGGGCATTTTCACCAGCCTGTTAAAGGTCAAATTATAAAAGCTCTTCATTTCATAATAAAAGTCTACATTTCGCTCAATAACATTTAAACTACTTAATTTTTTTTTCAAATAACTTGGCACAAGTTATCACCATAATGAGACGATGTGCAGAGCGCAATAATTGGGTTGCTACTGTCAAGGCCACACTTAGAGGTCAAATGATAAAAATTCTTCATTTCATAATGAAAAGTCTAACTTTTAATTTAAATGACATCTCCTCATATTTTTAACTGCTCAGCCAATTTCATTTAAAACTTCACAGGAATGTTTCTTTGGTAGTTAACTTTAAAAATTGTTCAAAGAATGTGTGATGAAAACATGAAAAAGGGGAAATAATTCTCACAAAAGTGACAGTTACCAAATATTTTTCTTTCAGTTTATGTCAAATGTTATTCTCAATAAACAAACAAAGTTTAAAAGAAACATATTTATTACTTTTCTAGAAATATGATTTTTTATGACATAAGCCCGATCGGGAATTTTCACCAGCCTGTTAAAGGTCAAATTATAAAAGCTCTTCATTTCATAATAAAAGTCTACATTTCGCTCAATAACATTTAAACTACTTAATTTTTTTTTCAAATAACTTGGCACAAGTTATCACCATAATGAGACGATGTGCAGAGCACAATAATTGGGTTGCTCACAGTCAAGGTCAAGGCCACACTTAGAGGTCAAATGTTAAAAATTCTTCATTTCATAATGAAAAGTCTAACTTTTAATTTAAATGACATCTCCTATGATATTTTTAACTGCTCAGCCAATTTCATTTAAACTTCACAGGAATGTTTCTTTGGTAGTTAACTTTAAAAATTGTTCAAAGAATTTAATTCCAAGCAGAAGTTTGGTTGCCATGGCAACCGAAAGAAAAAACTTAAAATATCTTCTTTTAGGAAACCGAAAGAGCTAGAGCTTAAATATTTAGCATGAAACATCATCTAGTCAGTGTCAACCAAGTTTGTTCAAATAAAAGCCCATGGATTAAAATTGGCCCTGCCCTGAGGGGTCATTGTTTTTCCCTTTATGTATATAATAGAAACTCTAAAAAATCTTCTTTTAAAAACCCCAGAGAGCTAGAGCTAAGATATTTAGCATGAAACATCTTCTAATGGGTGTCTACCAAGTTTGTTCAAATAAGGGCCCTTGGATTAAAATTGGCCCTGCCCCAGGGATCATTGATTTTCCTTATATGTGTATAGTATAAACTTAAAAAATCTTCTTTTAAAAAACCCAAAGAGCTAGAGTTTAGATACTAAGCATGAAATATCTTCTAGTGAGTGTCTACCAAGTTTGTTCAAATAAAAGCCCTGGGGTTAAAATTGGCCCCTCCGAGGGGGGGTCATTGTTTTTCCCTAGATGTATATAGTCAAAACTTAAAAAATCTTCTTATCCAAAAGAGTTACAGCTTAGATATTTATCATGAAACATCTTATTGGTGTCTACCAAATTTGTTCAAATAAAAGCCCCTGGTTTAAAATTGGCCAGGTGCCTATATACAGGTGAGCGATTTCAGGGACATCATGGCCCTCTTGTTAAGATAACTTGGCAGAAATGATCACAATTATGACACCATTGGCAGAGGACAATAATCAAGTCACAACTCTGAAGGTCAGGGTCACACTCAAAGGTCCAAAGTAAAAAACATCTATTTTTCATGTCCGCTCTTTAACTTATTGACAATTCAAAGGTTTTAAAATTACTTGGCACAAATGATCGTCACCATGACACAATCTGCAGAGTTCAACATCCAGGTTGCTACCCCCAAGGTCAAGGTTATATGTTCTCCATAACTTTTTTTACTTTATGGAAGATTTCAAATAACATGGCACAAATAATCACCATCATGAGACTTTGTGCTTATGATATGCATGGCATAACATCAAGGTCGTGGCTGTAAAAGGTTCACTGCGGAAGGGGATTTAGCTGTCCTTCAGACTGCCTTGTTAAAATATTTAATAATGCTTGTCGGGAGTTCAACTTCTAACTGTCAATAATATCTTATTGAAACTTCAGATTGTTACAGACACTAGTCAGAGGAAGTGATGTGTTAAAGAACTATAACTATACATATCTTAGTGTTTGAAATCTGTCACTTTAGTTACAATTAACAAGATTCAACCATTTTTAGCTCGACTATTCGAAGAATATGAGAGCTATTGTAGTCGCCCTGGCATCGGCATCCCCATCGGCTTCTGCGTTGGTTTAAGTTTTTTGTAAAGTCAAATATCTCAATTATTGCTTGAGATATTCAATTGAAACTTACAATACTTATGTACATCAGATTGACAAGTTGGATAACTCTGCCTACAATATTTACAGAATTATGCCCCTTTTTAACAGAAATTTTGGTTAAAGTTATTTGTAAAGTCAAATATCTCAATTATTGCTTGAGGTATTCAATTGAAACTTACAATACTTATTTATAGTAACAATGTACATCAGATTGACAAGTTGGATAGCTCTGCCTACAAATTGTAGCGCTTGTCATTTGACCATCTTTACGCAGTGATCTCCCCTGAATTTATTTTTCAGCATTAGTTTACATATAAAGGGAAGTAACCGCTTCAAAAAAGCGGACTTCTTTCGGCACTTGCAATTTACAGCATTAGAGTCTGAAATTTCGCTACCATTATTTGTTTGGTCTGACGACCCAAACAAATAAAAAATCACGAATTTTCATGTACTTTCTCCATGAATTTCCTAAGCTTTTTTCATTAAACTTTTCCAGAGTTTTCCATGAAAATGTTCCAGAGTTTTCAAAGCAACTCTGGAAATTGTTCTGCTAAAATGACATACTACTCCGGAAAAAATGTTCCAGAGTTACTCTGGAAAATGTTCCGGAGTTACTCTGGAAAATGTTCCGGAGTTACTCTGGAAAATGTTCCAGAGCCGCTCTGGAAAAAGTTCCGCAGTTAAAAATAGGATCTGGAATAAGATGCCATTAGCCTTGAAATAATTTTGGAACTACTATGGAATTCACTCTGGAACATTCTGGAATTACTATGGAATTCACTGGATTACTGAAATGATGGTTGCATACTAAAATCAAATGACCTTTTAATTTGCATTTGTGTTTTTATTAGCAAATCCAAAAAAGCACTCTAGTCGTCAAGAATTCAAACACTTATAGTAATTTGCACATTTCACAATTATTTCTAAGTCAAAGTGTTTTATTCAAACAAATGTAATTTAACATCCATCTAGTACACATGTATATATCCTTCACTTCACATGATGCAACATCTCCTTGACTTGTGGTGTGACCTCTCTGATGGATACTGAAAAATATTAATTAATTGTAAATAAATACATGTACTTGTGTTATATGCACAATGTCAATATAATTAGAATTGTTTAAACATGATTGATACAAAACATGAAAGGGTGAAAAAAGTTAAGATGGAAAACTTTCAATTAAATGATTTTTGCAGAATATCAGCACAGAGTTATCAAGTAAACACCATGCTTTGATGAAAATAATTTATTTTTGGTCAAAATTAACATTATGATAAACTTGTGTCAATTATTTCCCTGCTTTTCCTATATCTATGTAATGACAACTTTATGTAATGGCAGTTTAAATTACTCAATGATCTTCACAAGTACTTAATTACCACTGAAAGTTTGAGATGTGTTCAGTGGAGTCAGAATAGAGATGTGTTCAGTGGAGTCAGTATAACAATTATAAGTATATGCATAAAACATGAAGAACAACATTTTGTTCAGTGTTTGGAAAATAGCATGCATTTATATGAAAACATGTTACTTCGACTTTTTTCAACAAAACAAACTAAATTATTACCAGGATAGTTCTGTTAGCATTCTGTATTCAACAGTACATGTATTCATTTTCCCTCATCTGATATCCTTTGAGTTGAAACATCTCATGTGACTCCAAGACTTGAAAGTTTGCAACCTAATATGTTGAAAAAATAAACATATGTACATGAGTAACAAGAAATTACAATAATTTTATATTATGGATTTTATTAAATGTGAATTTGGAAATTCATTGCTTGATATGGAATCTGTTTCAATCACCAATATTTTGAATGGAAAATTATAATCTCTGATTTAAAATTTCCCGCCATTGTTTAAAAATGAAAAAGATTTTCTTAACTATTAATATTGAAAAGTTACATGTATGTAGAAATACAATCACTAAAACAGTGTATACTTGCAAAGAAAGTTTGAAAAAAACTAAAATAATAAGTGTTAAAAAATAAAAATACATTTTGTACTTACTGTTAGAAATGGTTATATACATGTAGTTCCCTCCATTTTAACTGAATCATGAAATACACATGTTTAAAAGTTCATATTTCCAGAAAACTTTTGTAAATTTGTCCAGTTTAAACTCATTTGATCTAATTTCCAATGCTCAAACATAATCGGCGTCGGCGTCTGCGTTGGTTAAAGTTTTTTGTAAAGTCAAATATCTCAATTATTACTTGAGATATTCAATTGAAACTTACAATACTTATTTATAGTAACAAGGTACATCAGATTGACAAGTTGGATAACTCTGCCTACAATATTGACAGAATTATGCCCCTTTTTAACTTAGAAATTTTGGTAAAAGTTTTTTGTAAAGTCAAATATCTCAATTATTGCTTGAGATATTCAATTGAAACTTACAATACTTATTTATAGTAACAAGGTACATCAGATTGACAAGTTGGATAACTAAGCCTACAATATTGACAGAATTATTTGCCCCTTTGGAACTTAGAAATTTTGGTTAAAGTTTTTTTGTAAAGTCAAATATCTCAATTATTGCTTGAGATATTCAATTGAAATTTAAAATACTTTTTTATAGTAACAATGTACATCAGTTTGCAAAATTGCTTAACTCTGCCTGCAATATTTGCAGTATTTATTTACCCCTTTGAAACTTAGAAATTTTGGTTAAAGGTTAAAGGTCTTCAAAGATATTTACTTGAAACTTTGCACATGCACTTAGGGTCATAATAGGAGGGTCATAATTGTATGTCACTGACCAAGTTCCATAACTCTATCTTGCATTAAGCCTGATTCATATCCCCTTTTCTACTTAGTCTCTTAGTTAATGTTTACATGCAAGTTTTACATATCTCAATAACTATTAAAGATATTTATTTAAAACTTCACATATGCATTTAGGGTCATAATTGTAGGTCACTGACAAAGATCCATAATTCTATCTTGCATTTAGGCTGATTTTTCTCCCCTTTTTCAACTTAGAAATTCATGGTAAAGTTTTGCTTGTAAGCTGTTATCTCAATAACTACTGAAGGGTTTGTGCCTTTTTTGGGACAATATTATGCATTCATAATAATAAAGCAGTGATTTACTTGATAAAACATCTTAATAACAAGCCTTTGTACCTTTCCTGTCAAATTTATGTATTCATAGGTAATTAGTATTATTATACTCAATAAAACACCCTTGTGACATTACCTTCCGAATAGTCAAGTCAATACTGTATAATTAGACTCTCTCTAAGGCCTATAACATGAATTTATAAAAAAAAATTAGCCCTTTTGTGAACTTAAAAAATTTAACATTATCAAGGCTCTTTTACTATCAAGCACTTAGAATAGTCGAGCGTGCTGTCCTACCGACAGCTCTTGTTATATATCTGGTCAACAATTTACAATTATGTCAATGCCATATTTTAAATTGTCTTTATTTTCATTATGTCTTTAAACCAGAAAACTGTCTTATATTAAAAATATTATTTTTGCCTTCTTAGGAAAAAATATTAAAGTTTAATGTAATTTAAGTGAAGTATACGTAAATGCAGAAATCAAATGAAAATTTCCTAAGTCCAAAACTTTCTCAAAAAATGACTAAGTGTTTTCCAGAGTAAAACTCCTTGAAAATTGTCTAAGTGTTAAATTTCCAGAGTTTCCAGAACTGTTTCATGGTTATTTCTTTGATGAAAAAGTCAAGTTCCAGAGTTCTCCATGAAAATTGTTCCAGAGTACTCTGTAAATACTGTGGAGAAAAGCTTGTTTCCATGAAAATTCATGGAAATTCATGGCAAATCGGTTATTTTCCAGAGTTTTCCAGAAAGACTGTGGAAAATCTACAGACGGTAATGTAATTTGAATGCGACTTAGTGTTTCCATTTATCTTCCTAGGGCACAATTTGCACTGTGCTGTCACATTTCCAGATGTCTCTTCAGGAAATTCAAAGACATCATAAATTCAATGATTTGACATTTTGGTTAGAATACCAGCCAAACAATGATGTCTATTTTCAGTAAGAATTTGGTTAACTGTATGGATTAAAATTGTGAGTGATGTCTTAAAACATCTGACTTGATATTTAAAAATACTACCTTTATGGACAATCATTGTTTATTATGACAATTTCTTAGATTATTTACTTCAAATATGGATATCAATAGAGAACAGTTTTTCTATTCAATAAAAATGTTGCTATTGTGTATCAAAATCAATCAATTTAAACACTACAATTTTTGATTAAAGATCATTATAAAGGTGTATAAGTTAAACTAACATGTGAAATAAATCATTTGAATTTCAATAGTTTCATGTAAAATCTGAAAGTAATCAACATCAATCAAATTGTAATCATAATTACAGACTGAATTTAAGCTGTAATTGATTAATTACAATTAATGTAATCAATTTTGAGCAAGGTAATCAATTACATGATGATTACAGTGTAATCATGTTATCAATTAAAAAATCGATGATTACGATTAGTGATTACCCCAGGTCTGCCTACAATATTTACAGAATTATACCCCTTTTTAACTTAACAAACTTGAAATTCATAATGTATATTTGTGGTCATAAATAATGATCACTGAACAGCACTCATATCTGTGTCATGTATTTAGGCTGATTTATCTCCCCCTTTTTTACTTAGCCTCTTGGTTAATTTTTACATGTAAGTTTTACATATCTCAATAACTATTAAAGATATTTATTTAAAACTTCACATATGCATTGAGGGTCATAATTGTAGGTCACTGACCAAGATCCATACTTCTATCTTGCATTTAGGCTGATTTTTCTCCCCTTTTTTCAACTTAGAAATTCATGGTAAAGTTTCAAAGGTTGTAAGCTGTTATCTCCATAACTACTGAAAGGTTTTTGCCTTTTTTGGGACAATTTTATGCATTTATAATAATAAAGCAGTGGTTTACTTTATAAAACATCTTAATAACAAGCCTTTGTACCTTTTCGGTCAATTTTATGTATTCATAGGTAAGCATTATTATACTCAATAAAACATCCTTGTGACAACTTTTTCGAATAGTCGAGCCTTACTGTCCTCCAACAGTTCTTGTTATCCTTACACTGCCTACCCTAATAGAAAATAAATACCATCAACAACAAAAGATCTCAAAAAGGGGTGCCTATGGGGAATTCCAACTGCCATGTTTTGTTGAGTTACCTATATATACAATTGAAATAAAGAAACTAAAAACAAGTGTGTAGGCTCCTGTAGGTTAAACAATATTCAGAATATTTCCTTTAAAAGAAGAATGTTGAGCTGTGTTGTTCAGGAAGGAGTTTATTTCATGAAAAAAACATTATTTGAATACCTGGCTGAACGGCTATTTCTAGTATTTTTGGAGATGTTAATACTTGTGATATATAATAATGCTTTGCCAGAGAATAACTTGAAATGTATGAAAAGAATGTTATTTACACATCACATAGTGATGGAGACTAGAACGAGGATGTGTTCAGTCTAAGATCTATAAATTATGCTACCTTATTTGGTTTTTATCTAATGACTATTCAAAGAATAATAGGGCTATGGTCCTACTCACCTGGGGGTCAGCTTTGGCATTATCATAACATTGTGGTTAAAGTTGTGCATGTAACATCATTTCTCATCCAGAATTTAAGATATTTGCTTGTAGCTTCTCATACATATTTGATAGCATAAAAGCTAGAGGATCACTATCAAAGGCCCATACTTCTAGAATGGATTTTGGCTGAATTATGGCCCTTTTTGAACTTAGAAGTTCTTAGTTAAAGTTTTGCATGCAACATCAGTCTTTAAAACTACTAAAGGTATTCACTTGAAACTTATTACAGTTGACTCTCGTTATCTTGAAGTCATCGTGATCGTCCAAAAAAAACAAACGAGATAACAAAATGTCGAGATAAACATATTAGGGTTTGAATCAGGCAGAAACTGACTTTTGCAAGAGACAAGTGCATACCTTATATTAAGTCAAATAAACTAAGTATGATGTCTCCATGTCTTGTTTTCTTGAGCCTAATATCATAAAGTCAATATTTAACAAAGTTACATACATGTGTAATAGGGAATGTTTACTAGTGGACATTCGGGAGTTTGTGATGAATAAACATAATGTAGTTTACTCAGTAATACACCACTACTGGTTTCCTAGCAGTTTGAACCGTCCCCTAGCAGTTTTCCGGCGGTTTATCATTTTCGTCCAGTACAGTCTATTTTTACCAGTAAGGCATCCACATTACTTCATCAATCAGAGAGACATTTGTTTTCTATGCCAAACAGCATTTAAAATAGTACAACGATTTATATGTTTTGAAGTTTTGTCTTTTATTTAAAGTTACATAAGAGAACTTGCGACTTTCAAAAATAAGCAACATCTGGGGAATTCTAGTTTGAATATCCATGCGCAATAACTAAGACCCCACTTTAGGTAAATCATTTCTTCGGAAAATATTTTTTGCAGATGGTAACAGGAAATTTAAGCCTGAGCATGTTGTTACAAAGGCATCCAGTCAACATTTGTGCCAAGTTTGATTAGTATTGAAGCAGTTTTTATAGTTTTATAGCAATTTGAACTTGTAGCAGGAGACTTTTCAATGAGCCATTTTTCACAAAATGCTCATGAAGTAATGGGTTAAAGGTCAAATGTATAAAAGTCTACATTTCGTGTCTTTCCATTACATTTAAACTGCTGCAATGTTTTTAAGATAAATTGGTAGAAATGATCACCATTATAACACAATTGGAAGAGCACAATAATCAAGTCACAACCCTGAATGTCAGGGCACACTCAAAAGGTCCAATGTAAAAACATCTATTTTTCATGCCCGCTCTATAACTTATTATCAAAGGTTTTAAAATTACTTGGCACAAATGATCCCCACCATGACACAATCTGCAGAGTTCAACATACCATCCAGGTTGTTACCCCCAAGGTCAAGGTCATATGTTCCCATAACTATTTGACTTTATGGTAGATTTTAAATAACTTTGCACAAATAATCACCATCATGAGTGCTTATGATATGCATGGCACAACATCAAGGTTATGGTTGGTAAATGGTCAAGAAGTACAGTTTCATGTTCACTGAGGAAGGGGATTTAGCTGTCCTTCTGACTGCCTTGTCTTATTTTTGACATACCACAGGAGTCTGGAATCGTTTCTATATATGAGCCACATATATGAAATCAAATATAACTGCTTTTGTTTTTAGCTCGACTATTTGCAGAATAATCGAGCTAACACAGTCACCCATTTGTTGGCATCCCTGTGGTTTAATTTTTGCGTGTTAGCTGGTATCACCATTACTATGAAGGGAATGGATTGAAACTTCACAAACTTGTTTTCT